AATCTTCTTTAATGCATCCGACAAACAGAGACTACGGATTACACCTTTTCGCAAATATTTTCCAAAATTTATTGTGCGATTATCTTATTGCCAGAAATAGAAAGAAAAAAGAAACCGAAAAAAAAGAAGAAAAAAATTAATTACTAATAACAATAACGATATCTGGTGGTTTTGAAAAATGTTACAATCAGTGGTACGAATAATTGCAGTATACCGGATACGGGGAAAAAAAAAAGAAAAATGAAAAAGAACGCAAACGGTCATTATCTTTTGATTTATTATTAATGATACTATATTATTTTCTTTATTTGTATTATATATGTATATTTATATGTATATATTCTTTATATTCTTTAATTGTAGACCGAAAAACGATTTCTATTATATTCTAATCGATTTGATTTGATTTTTTAATATCTTCTTCTTTTTCTTCTTCATCTTCTTATTTTAATAATATAAATATAAATACGATAGAGTATGCATATACTTTTTGGATAGTTCGTATGCACTAAGAAGAATTGTATATCCAAGAACGTTATTATCTATGTTATTTAAAAACGATAAATCTAATATAACAACCTTGCTTACCGATATCTCGTCTTAATAAAAAAGATAAAGAACATTTTTCCGATAAAAAGATACAGGCATCGATATTTCCGAACGAAGAATATAATTAAGTATAGTAAGTTAGATCTTGCTTTTAAATAAAAAAAATGCGTGCGAGTTACGATTATGGTGTTAAGTATACCTTCTTTTTTTTTCTTCTTCTTCTTCTTCTTTTTTCGGTTGGTCAAAACTAATAGATAAGGTGAAGGGTGAAGTAAGAAGACTAAAAAAAAAAATAGGAAAGAGAGAGACAGAGAGAGACAGAGAGAGAGAACATTTTGATAAGAGATTATTATCGATGATTAGTCGATACATATTATCTTCGATTAGAAATGTTTCCTTCTGATTTAACAAAGTGTGCAACAAGAAATAAAAAGCATTCTTCTTATCGTTGCGACTAACATCAATTGCATTTTCTATGTAAACCATTTTATAAAACGAGAAACAAATAGTATTTTCAATTACTGCGATCGTTATCTCTTTCCTTCTCTCTTTTTTTTTTTTATTATTTTTCGGTACATTAATTTGCTTATTTGGTTTTTATCAATTGGCAATTAGTATCTGAGGAGAAGGAGGAGGAGGAGGAGGAGAAGAAAAAAATAAATACGATAGGAGAAATCGTTTTTAAAAATACAATTTTTTAATATCGAGTCTATTTTAAAATCAACCGAAATGCAATTTATTTGCAACAAATTAACAAATGCAATAGGGAAGAAGTAATAAGTAAAGCAAAAAGAAAAAAAAGAAGAAATTAAACAACGGAGGGGAAGATTACATAAAAAAAAAAGAAAGGAAATAACGAGGGAAAAAAAGAAATTGTCATAACGATACTATAAACGTTAACATTGTTTATGAAACGCAATATGTATGTCGAATAAAACGAATAAAAATCCAGAGAAGGAAAAGTACGGACTACTCGGGTGAAAAAAAAAAATATAAAAAGAAAAATAATAATGGGGAACTTCTCTTTACTACAAATCATATTTTCTTCTTTCATCTTTTTATTCTTATTATATATATACAGTTGTCCTCGTTCTGAGTCGTTTGTTCATCAACTTTATCGCTCGTTGTTAATTGCTTATTAATCGTTCTGCAAATTCGTATTTGCGAATGTGTAATAATACACTCTTGTCACGCATGCTGGTATTCTTTGTTTTTCTTTTTTCTGTAATAATAAATAGTTAAACAATGTGTAACGATAAAATGTAAAAATGGTTTATAGGATTTTGTATATGCGAAAAGAATTGTAGAGAGAAAAATTGTTTAATTAAAATATCTGACAATATGTTAATTCCTACGAGAAATTTCTTTTGGTACTATTTTTATACGAAAAAATAATGCGATTTAATGGGAAACGTCAATCAAAGTTTATACAAGGTGGCATGATATTTCTCAGGAATCAAACGAATGACAAAAAAAAACATAAATGACGCGTTATAGAAAGAAATTGGATAAGATTTTCAATGAAACGTGAGAAATCGCGTTTAATTAAACGATTATGTTTCCTTCTGCTAATTCGTTTGTGCTTATGCTTAAGTAACGCACGATCGTTGCAAATATATATATGTTAACTTCGTTGTAAAAAAAAAAAAAAAAAAAAAAAAAAAAAAAAAAAAAAAAGAAATATAATAAAATTCATCGAATTGATTGATTCTTTTTTATGTTCTTTTCTTTTCTTACTTTTCCTTTTAACTCTACTTTTATTATTAAGCAGATAAAACAGCAACAACAACAACAAAAAAAAAACAGGTATTTGAATAGAGAACAGTTTACGAGCACGCGCGTTACCGCAAGACACGTTTTTTACATTAAATAATAACGGTATTTGATAGGTAAAACAGAAAAAAGAAAAAAAAAAAAAGGAAAAAACTAGACGACTCTTCGCATGAACGTATCGTTCAAGAAAATATAGACGACGTCCTCCGCCAACTTTGATTGGTCGTTCGAAGAGGTCACGATGTCGTTACAATGCAACTTGATTATCGTAAGTGTTTGCTTGTATTTTCTTTTTTTTTTTTTTTCTTTCATACGCATATCATACATTTCTATCGTATTTTTATCATTCGCGCAACCTTGCTCTGGATAATAATTGCGTTTGGATACACACCATCCCTTTTATTTTAATTTTTTTGTTTATAAAGGTTTTTCCAACAGAATTTTTCCTTATTTTACCTTCGTTCACTTTTATTTGATCTATCTCAAATACAAAAAAAGCTTATCAGTTTCAAATAATTTATGCGTGAACACGTTCAACACGTCAACCATCTGAAGCTTATCTAAAAATCTATTTTCCCACGGGAAATTCCTATGACTCATTCTCAACCGAATGCATCGATCTCTACGTAAGACTGTTATAATTTTTAACTTACACACACACACACATTTAATTTTATAAATTATTCGAATAATTTTGATCCCCTATTTCCTATACTACCTGGTTTTACTTTTTATATTTTTACTTGAATACTTCCTTGCAAGTATAGTTAATTGTATTATAAGATAATCTCGATAGGATTTAACCTTGATACGATTAAGGAGAATTCTTTTACCGGGCCACCATAAAGACTATGATGATTAATACTTCGTAAATGGTGCTAAGTCACGCGCGTGGAACAATTTTAATGAGAAAATCAAGTCTTTTTCGATTCATGTCTTTTCTTTTTTTTTTATCTTCTATTACAATTATAAGAAATACTTCATTAAGTTTATTAACAAAAATTATTAATCCTCCGTCGAGAAGAATATTATTTATTAATTTATTTTCTCTGTTAGATATAAAATACTTCACAATCTAAAATAAAAATAATTTATCTAACGTGGCACGTGATACAAAATAAATACTACTAATTTATTTAAACAATGATTATCGTCCGATACATTATGTGTGCGCGTAGAACAAAGAACTTAACGAATTTTGAGAATAAATCTATTTCAAAAATATAATATATTCATATTATATAAAAATAATCGAATATTTTTGTATAAATCGGCAGGAATTTTTCCCCAACACACATTTCAATAATTAATACATGTTATAGAAAAAAAAAACACATGTAATTATTAAATAAATTAAAATACAAATTATATAAGAACAATATCAACGCGGTTCAATGTCCAATTTAATATTTAATGAAAATAAAATTTTAATTTCGTGATAAATAAAAGAAAATCTATTGCTTATGTGTTCCTGAATAAAATCATTTCAAATGTAAATTTTATTTTCGAATTTTATCTATTCCTATTGTAAAGTTATTTCATTTCATTCTTGAAAAAGTAAACAGTACTACTTTTTCTTTAGAAAAAAATCATCAATCACACGAAAAACAGATTTTCGATGAAACGAAAATAGATGACTTGACAAACAACATCAAACTTTCTTAATTTATTCTAAACGAAAAGCTACTGTCATGACAATATTATTCCTACCCCCGATATTATTTAGTCGATTGTTTGTATAATTATTCAACATCCCCACCACTAAATTTCGGTCATGCGTATAACCAGATTAGGATATTTCGACGAATAGAAACAATTCTTTATAAAAGAATCCTCCCTATCTCGTAACACATAAATAGGAGTATACCTAGTATCCGAATGATCATTCTTTCAAGTGATCGTGGTTACGTGCACATCTCTATATTTCGAATTCGGTTCTTAAACGATAATATTTCTTATAATTTTTCACAAAAATCTCTCTAACACAGTTTCATAAATATTTTTTCCTCTCCAATATTAATCGTCGTTATAATAGTGCTTGAAAATGGTTCGAGCATGACAAGTTTTTAACGTTAAATCAATACTTTTATATTGTTTAATCGTTCACGTTAGTTCACTTGATTACAGTGTTCCACGATACGTGGAGTAAGTATACACACAGAAAAATTTGAAAATATAATATAATATAAATAAAAGTAAATGAAAAAACAAGGATATTGCACATGCACGACCGAATAATAGAGATATAGTGTTGTAACTTACCATACGTGAATATAATATAGTGTAAATTAGATACAACCCTGTAAACACATACACACATACATACACGATATGATGTAAGTTTTATACATATATATCTATATATATATATATATGTGAACGTGTATATCTAGTTGGAAAGGAACAAATCAGATTACTCGGGGACTACTCACTTGGTTTCCCTCACTACTCACATACTCGAAGATCAATCAGAACCGAAACTCTAGATCACGCTTAGCTTTAGTCCGTCCATTGAATCCGACGAGAGTGCTCGTCTTGTCGTCTCGGCGTCATTGTATCATCGCGTTCTTGTCAATCGAACACAAAATCAGTGTTTTCGAGAGAATATACATTTTCAAAAATATTTTTCGACAAGTTTTTCTCATCCAAGAAAAATCATCTTATTTAATCGTTCGACACGTGCTAATCGTTGTGTTTTTGTTTTTATTTTAATGGTTGTTTATCAAAAACTAAAAAAGATTCATGTTACGTGTACACGTTATTTTTATTATTATTAGTTTCCTAAGGCCTAATGCTTGACAGTACATCTAACGCTTTTTACTTCGATGGAGAACAGTTGACACCATCAGTACAAGAAATGAGACTAGAGGACAATGTATTATCTTTTTTTGGTAAGTATAAAATAATATTCACACACACACACAATATTTTGTTTTTTAATATTTTATATTTAATTTTAATAATAGAATATCGGTACGTTTGTCTAAAGGATAAATTTTTCATTTCTATATGCGTGCAAATTTAATCTTATTTGATCATTTGGATATAAATAAAGATTGCAAGATATTTTATTCGTAATTGATGTTTTTTTCTTTTTTTTTTTTTTTTTTTTTGAAATCTGACAAAAATATTATTCATGTTATTTTCCTGATTTGACGTCAATTGAACTCAATAAAATGATAAATAAAATGACGAATAAACGTTCTCAATTTGTTTATAATTATGAAATAAAAATAGTTGAAATTCTTTTTAATTGTTCTAATTGACAAATGTACCAATAACATTATCAATGTTTAAGATTAAGTAATATTCGATTAAAAACAAGTTCATACGATGTTTTATAATATTTCACGTAATTCAACGAGATGAGGAGATATATCCCCCATATCCCCTCAAAAAATAAAATCAATCAAATTTTTCAATTTATTCATTTATATTCAAAGCCTTAAAAGAGACTCTTGTGACGCGAACATTACTTAATCTTAAAATAAGAAATAAATTGCACGAACAAACGCGCGTTCCATCATTCGAATTTATAAATTTAAAAAAACGCTAATTTGTAATGAAAAATTTGGAGACGATCGAGAAAAAAGAAATCCAATAAGATTGACGCGAAATAAAAGAAAAAAACAAAAAACAAATGATACTATTAATTATAATAAATTGTATTAATAAATTATTATATAAAATAATCTGAGAAATTATTCAAAAGATCGAATACAAATTTGTGAAGTTTTCTTCTTCTTCTTCTTCTCTATAGATGATAAATTTTGAATGATAGATATCGTTGATAAAACACATTAACCATACGGATATAATTCAAACTAATTTTTGTCTAATCACGAAAACAATTTATTAAAATGATTAATCTTACGAATTGAGAGAGAAAGAGAGAGAGAGAATATATCTCGTGTCAGGAAGTAAAGATCTTGTTTTTTTTATTCTACTTCTTCTTCTTCTTCTTCTCCTTCTCCTTCTTTTTTGATTTTTTTTTTCTTAAGAGAAAGTAAATAACACTCGCGCGTGATAATACACATCGAAAGCTTCAAATAAATTTTCTCCTCTCGGTTGAATAGATTTTCATCGTTAAATAGAAATTCTACGATTGATTTAGAACGGAAAATTACACTTTAGATGGTGACAAAATAAAAAAAAAAACTCACTCACATTTACACACACACACGTTTTAACGATCATTTCGTCGTCGCATAGATTTTTATTGTTAACACTTATTTATTAGGGGGAGGAAGAGGGAGGGGGGACAGAAACAAAGCTAAAAAAGACAAAAAAAGAAGTATTGCCGTTGCATTGGAGATTACGTAAAATAAAAGAAAATACCGACTGTGATTCGTCCGCGTTGTTAATCATCCCAAGCAATATTATGCCAAGCAGACACTTTTTTTTTACTTTCATATTTATTTTTAAATGAGAGAAAATAATAGATAAATCATAGTTAAGCGAGAGATGGGAAAAATACACGAGTTCGAATTTTATCGATGACAATGTTTTTACAATATATGTATTCGTTTTATTCTTCGCGATCTTTCGAGAAAATATTCATATAAATATTTTTAAAAATGTTACTAATGTTAAAGAGAAAGAAAAAGAGAGAGAGGGAGAGAAAAAGAATTCGTAAAAATTGTTAGACATTTCAAATGTGAATTCCAAGGCATTATTTACTTTCAAACTAACATACAAGGTGACATAACTATACAAATTAATTATGGACCTTGCGTATTCGCGCTTATGATCCATACGTAAAGAAGAATATTATTATTTTACGATAGACGTAACTCTTTCTTTAAATGACGTAGCATATTTCTACATATATTTATGCGCGTTAAGATTATAATTATAAAAGAAATCGTACAACACGTTTTTCTATAGGATCTACGACGTTATGACTATGGTCAAACTATTAAAAGAAAAAGTGAAATAAAGAGATATATTAAGAGTAAAAACAAAATATAATATTTAAATTAAAAGAAAAAACAAAGTAAGAAAGATAAAGGGGTAGTACATAAGTATAGTATGAAAATATTCAATAAAATATAATATAATAAATGAACAATCTTTTTTTATATCAATCACTCTTTAAAATAACGTCCGTAAAATATTAATAAAATTCAATGATGCGAAAGAAAAAAGAAATAAATAATATAAAAGTGAAGTAAAAAAAAATATATATATATATAATATAACAATAAGTATATAAAATAAACTTAAAGAAAAAAACATAGTTTAATAAAAAAGACCTTTTCTTCTTCATCAATCTCTCTCTCTTTCTCTTTCTCTTGAAAATATGATATCATGAAAAACATAATGAATTTCTGTGACGTATAAATTGATAATGAAAGAGAGAGAATGATTTACGGAAATATAAGAAGCTACGAAAGAGAAATACACCCCTTTACAATCCGCTAAATGAAACTGCAATGATTCATTTATGGGTGTCTCATTGTCTGTCAGCAGGAACAAGAACACACTCGTGGTTTGGTATTTATCGTACTAAAACTGACTCATTTTATATACTCGATCGCTTTGTTATGCACCATTTTCTCTGTTTATCTATCTTTTTCTTTCTCTTTCTCTCGTTCTCTCTTAGATTTGTTCTTTCTCCTTTTCGTTCTTTTTTTTTTTTTTCATATTCCTTTTATAGAAACAAAATGTGAAATTAATTGCTGTTCTTTGTCACTAAACTAAGACAAGTTTATTGGAATATCGATTCTGATTCGTTCGTTATTTTATATATATATTTATATGTTTGCGTGTATGTGTACACGTGTATTTAAAAAGATTTTGCTTCGATGAAATCGCGAGAAAAAAGATTGGAAATGTTTTATTTTTCCAATTGATTACACGATTTTTATTAAATTCCTATCTTCATTAGACGATACCATTTGACACATTTCTCTCTCTTTCTCTCTCTCTCTCTCTCTCTCTCGTTTTGTTTAATAATAATTATTTATCGTTGAATTATATATTTTACATTTGTGTACTCCTCCTACGTGTCTATTTTTTTTCTTTTTTTTTAACGAGATACAAATTTGCATTCGTTATAAGCACAAATTAATTTGATATATATTTTTCATTCGATTTGTTTATTTATTTCAATTAATTTCATATTAGTTATTTGCTTTTATAGACGACGTGTGTTATGAAAATTGATTTGTAGTTAATTAAATTGTATTATTACGGCGAACACATACGTTTCCTTTAACGATTCGCGATGATAATAACGAACGTTAATCGATCTATCTTGATATGAGATAAATTAGTTTATTAAAACGTTAATCTCGGGTGTGTTCGATTAAAACGATCGAGAATTTCTTATCTATTATATACCTGTGTGACGTATATGTGTTATAGAAAATCAATTAATTGTTTCCAACTGCGATAACACCAAATAAGTTAAGTTTCTTCATACGATATTTCAAGTCATCCTTAATAAATGTAACAACCGATGATGATTACGTTTGCACGAATCTTTAAAAATTATTTCAACGTAATAACTGACGTGCAAAGATTAATATATATATATATATATTTTTATATTATATAAAATAAATGTTAAATGGAAGGAAATGTTGTAATATCGATGACCTTAAACTAAAGTTTTCCTCTCTCTATCTTTCTCTTTTTCTCTTCTATGTCATATTTAGTTAATATTTAATAAAAAATTCAATCGCACGTGCGATACTTTGAAGTATCAGGCCGATAATAAGAAAACTAATCGATAAAAAAAAGTGCAGTTACAATTTTTAAACTTTCTTATCTGTTTTTAACATTATTTTTCTGTTATTTAAGTCTACTGTTTATTCTTTTATTTTTTATTTTATTCCGATAAGTAGTAAGCGAATTCTCTATCTTTCTATTTCTACTTTTGTCCGATATTTTTTAAATTCTATTCTATCTTATCTATTGTATTATTATTATATTATGTTACTTTTTTTTTTTTTTATAAAATTTATGCATATATACAAATAATTCGAATCATTTTAGAATATCAAGATAATAATAATAAGGAAACAAATAGATAATAATTGCAGTTGTATGACGTTCATTCTAATCCTTTCATACGCCTAACGAGTTATTTTTTATTCTTTTTTTTTTGTGTGTGTTTGAAAAATATATGATAATTATTTTAATTCTTTCATTTATCCGGTTGTTTTGTTTATTGATATCCGACAATTAAGAAACGAATGATACCGATTTAGAAACGCGCACAATACGTAGAGATTAATTTGTTATTATTTAATATTTAAACGAGTAGATTTTTTTAACTTGCATATATTCGTTAGTATCCAAATAAAAAAATTAGATAGTCCTGAATTATTTTAATCCGAACGTTTTCCAATTAAATTTGATTTTTATACTTTTATATAAATACAATAATATATATATATATATAAATGATAGCAATAAAAAATAATACGAGTATAGCTTGGTTTGTCGCACGTGTTTTTTATCGACAGATATTTAATGCTAAATAAACCGAATATATTTGACTACTTAAGTAGTATGTTAAAAAAAAAAAAAAACAAAACAAGAAATTTTAATGAACTTATTTTACATAGATCGATTCGTAACATCAAAGAAATAACATAAATAATTAACGTTGACGTAAAAACGTGGACATAAAAAAGAAAAAAAAGCTACGACAGAACTATACTCTTGTGTCGTTCTTTTAAAACGACAAACAAAATGCAACAATTGCATAAACTTTATAATTACTCGAAAAATTTTAAACAAAAATATCAATCAATGAATCATCTCAAAATTCATAGTATTCAAATAATAATAATAATAATAATAATACTAAATGAGTGAGGGATTGCATCGACCGTAAAAAAAAAAAAGGTACAAAAAATTCGTGTCTAATTTGGACAAACGATTTAAAACCAATAAAATAATAGGCTTACTTAACTATCGGATAAATAATTAAACGAACTAACATTTTCGTGGTTTCATTCCTAGTATTTAAAATAATAATGATAATAATAAATAGTTAATTAGTAAAAAGAATTGCATTGACACTATAAAACCGTAGAAACTTTTAAACGAAGAACGAATGGGGACGGTAATGCACGGGGTTCGGGGGGGGGGGTAAAAATGGTAGGGTGGGGTAGGAGGTAGGAAGAGATAAGGGGGCAAGGGTTCCCCACTCCTTCACGATGGAACACCACGGACGCAAAACGTGTCTACGTTTACAGCTGTTTGCCAGTCGTCACCGGACCGCCGTGAGGTCTGGCAAAGGTCATTAACGTTATCTCTTTTTTTTTCTTTTTCATCATATTTTTTTTTTTTTGTTATAATCATTGTCGTCGTCGTTGTCGTCGTCGTCATTGTATTTATCGGCAATAATTATTGTTGTCGTTAATAGTAGTAGTAGTAATTGTCATCGTGGTCGTAGTTTAGAATCAATCCTCTATATATATATATATCGCGTGAAATTAATAAAAATAAAATAAAATCAAATAAATGATCGAGAGAGAGAAAATAAATAAATTAATCCAAATGTCCAAGAGAGAAGTAAACTTTCGATGCGTGCAAATCGAGTGGACTATCGTTCCGCGTCTAAACGAGGGACAGTTATTTTCGTGATCTTTGCGGGTGTAGGGACGAAAGAAACAGAGAAGAAGAGAAAGAAGAAGAAAAGGAGGAAGAAGAAGAAGAAGAAGAAGAGTGTGAGACAGTAAATCGACTGTGTGAGAGAGAATATATGTGTGCTTAGTGGCTTTTGCCCAGCACCTGTGACATACCACTACCGTCGTCTTATATTTCTTCTTCTATCATATTTTATATAAAAAAAAAACAATTAAAATTATTCACGAATTTATCGTAACAAACAACAAACCAAAAAGAAAAGTCTAGTGAAACATAAAAAAAAAAAAAAAAACAAATTAAAGAAATAAACATTCATATATATATATAAACTTGTGTAAATTGTTTTAAGTAAAAACAACAACAAAATATTTATTGATCGATAGATAATCAAGAATTGGAAGAAAAATTGTCACTTAACGAACAACCGGCACCACCAACAGTTGACCATTTCAATAATCGAATCTCAGGGATTGGTACGTTCACGATGGGCCTATCAGGTAAGTTTGTTAAATTTGTATTATTTTATTTGTTGCATGATCAAAAATATTATACAAATAAATGTGCATAAAATTTGGCATCTATCTTCTTCTACATTTACGTGTTTATATTTAACACAAATTTCTTTCTATTATTAAGAAATCTAATGAAAATTATTAAGTGATGTGCTAATATATTTGTAAAATAAATATGTACAAAAAGTATGAGTTAAAAAATTTCACATGTTCGTTCAACTTCTTCGATCAAAGAGAAACGTTAAACGCAAAACGTCGGGAGTCGTATTATCAATCGTTATGAGTTTATCTCGCTCTAGTCACTCTTCTCTCCTCCCTTTTTATCGTCGTCCACCTCCTCCTCCTCCTCCTCCACCTCTTCTTCAACAACCACCACCATCATCACCACTACCACCACTTCTTCTTCTTCCGTCGTTGTCGTTGACGATATCATCGGAACAGTGACTAGAACGCAACGAGACCGATCTTCTTCTCCTGGCAACGTTTGTATATGCACTAACGATATTACGATTTTTATTACTGTCATGTCAAGTGATTTCCTTATCATTTTCTCATCTACTGTTTATTACTGTATATTTCTTTATTTTTTTTATTCTCTCTTTTCCTTACCTCGCTTTATTATTTTCAACCAAATATCAGAGACACAGAGAGAGAGAGAGAGAGAGAGAGAGAGAGAGAAAAAGTAGATATTTTTTTAATAAAATTAAATAATAAAATAAGTTACAAATTAAATAAAAATTTTGTCGTTCTATACACACACACACACATACACGGATATAGATAAATAATAATAACTTAAACGAAATAATTATTTCGATTATTTTCATTCGTTTTCTTTGTCGCGTTATATTATTGCACTCATCGTTGTTGTTGTTGTTGTTGTTGTTGTTGATGTAAGAAGAATAAGAATACGTATTGCACGTATTAAAGTCTGGCGCCGAGGAAAGCTAATGCAGTTCGCGACACGCGTGTGCGTGCACGTGATTGGTTCTCTCCCAGTAGCGTAACCATATCTTGGATTGGTCTTTTCAATCATCAATGACATACCACCTTTCACGTAATTACATATATATATATATATACTTTTGTGTATTGAAATTAAATTTTGGAAATAAAGTCTATGTAAAAGAACGAACAGAGGATGGGAAGGGGTGGAGTCAGAGTTGGGGTTGAAGAGGATGTATGTGTGTATAGATGTGTGTGTGTGTGTGTGTGTGGATTAGGACAGTCTAGAAATGAAACGTTTTCAAAGAGTATGAATAAATGAAATATGAAAAGAAGAGTTAGTTCATTGGGTTATAATATTTGAATAAAAAAGTTATATTAATAGTACTTGATTATTAATATATAATGGAATTGATGAGGAGTTAGGGGTACGTACGATGCATTCTCCGGAACTGTTGCGACCTTTGTTGACACGTGGTACCGAGCGCATTGCACCGGTCAATAACTCTTTTCTCTCTTTCTTTCTTTCTTTCTTTAACTTCGAATTATTCGAAACTTTGTCTTATATTGTGTATGTTTTAGATCGCGGAATCTTATGTACCATATATATATATATATATATATATATGCATTCTTATACACTGATGAGCTCATATGCATGTATTGTAATACACATACGAAGTAGAATTAATTTATCAATGCACGTATATGAATACAATTCTATGTATATGTAGAATGTTCTTTAAAGCAATGCAATAAATAAAACACGCAGAAAAAAAAAATTACAGAAGAAATCTTTTTCCTGTCTCTCGACCCAAGTATTATATAATTCAATATATATAAAAAAAAAAAAAAAAAAAAAAAAAAATAATAAATGGATTATAATGAACTATAGTTTGTATTAATTTGTATTATAATATATACTATAAATAATTATTAAAATGATTATATATTAATGAAATTCTAATAGTACTATAGATATGTACTCATGCACTTTGACATAATATACTATATACATATATACATGATGTTCGTTAAAATGTTTAATCTTGTTCGACTGGGTACTCGTATCATTAATACAACTCGTTGCAACGACTCGTAAAATGAAAGTCACCGAGAGTTAGGTTCGGGGGGACTACTCAAAACAGGATTCTTGACTGTCCAAGCCGTATTGGGTGAACCGTTCGATCACCATGCTTGGAAATTTCCAATACAGACGGTGAACCAAGCAAACCACCAGCAATGATCCGTTACGGTCATTTAACGAGTTCGTAAATAAGATACAAAAGAATGTCTTATTGCATTTTCAGAAGATTATATTAACTATCGTATATTAATCCAGATTTTTTTTAACTTGATTTCAAATATTATCGTGTACTCATTATCCCTGTGATCAATCAATCAATCAATCAATTAATATATAAGATTCAAAATATTCATAAATAATAATCAATCTAATAAACATTATCTTGTTTATTTCTAAACAATAAAATATAATCAAATTGAAAAATCTCTTAAATAATTGAATTGGTTTGTCTATCACGTAAGAAAACGAACTAGTAACACACGACGACCTCTTTTATATAGTTAGTTTCCTGAAAATAATCAAATCGGGGAAAAGAGAGGACTCTCGTAACGTTGTCACGTAATCTTTAATGTGAAGAGAAAAGACCTCGGGGATATACAAATACACGCATACGTAGTAATAATACTTGCATACTTAATACATAATAATACCGTTTGTATCGTGATAAAATATTTGACTCTGTTCGTTGGTTCCTCGTACGAGATGAGATGAGACGATCGAGGAGGATGAGGTTAAGATGAAAAATAATTTCGCATTAATGTCTAACTCGTTCTTCTTCTTCTTATTTTTCTTCTTCGTTTCTTAAAAGAATGAAATAAAAAAAAAAAATATATATATATATATATATAAAACGACGGAAAAGGGAATTCCTCGTAAGTAGAAAAAGACGCGCATTTTCAGATCGATGTAATTGACGCTACGAGCGGTAATACACACGTCGTCTTCCTGACAAAACTATTTGATTATGCTAATCCTGTGCTAACAGCCTAGACAAACATAGTAACCTCCGCATACGACGTGTCTAGAAGAGAGAACTTACGTGGTTTTTAAAAAGAAAAAAGAAAAAGAAAAAAAAGAATTAAAAGGAAGAAGAAGAAGAAGAAAAAAAAAGCTTCAATGTCGTCGGCATAGAATTTTAAAAGGCTTGAGAGAAGAAAGATATAGAAACACAGACGTTATACACACATACACACATATGACACTCGTATAAATAATTAATAAATCGCATCGGAGATTGGTACAGCAACGACACGTTCGATTCTCCCTTTCTGACGTTCACGTATATAGGGTGCCTCGATTTAAATGATCATACATCTTTGCGATCCCATTGATTTTATAAATAAATATTTCAAATAACGCTTATGTGTGTGTTATACTTTTCAAGATAAAATTTAACGTGTTTATCGTAATGATTTTACAGAAAGAACTGTTGAATACACTTGAATATATAAAAATGAATAAGTATGATTATTGATTAATATTTCATTGAGTTTTTGCAATCTGATGTTTAACTTCGAATAACGTTTGATATATAATTATTAGACTTAATTCATTGTTATTTATTAATGATATTATTTAAATTAGAACACCCTTTATATATACACGCACACACATACACATATTTATCGGTTTATTTGACTACCGATTGTAAAGAAAAGCCATTACGTAACCTGGTAGAATTGTATATAACAGTGGCACGCACGCGACGATTCTAAAGTTAATTCCTCGTGTGTGCATATATGTATGTGTGTGTGTGTGTGTGTGTGCATTAGTGTATTAGTGTCGCAATCGCTATGGCATTAGCTTCGTCGAGATCAATTGGTCACCTGAACGAGCTAACTTACCTTCCTATCTTTCGCTCCTTTCGTAATAAAAAAAAAAAAAAGAAAGAAAAAGACTAATGTTCGTTTTATTTCATTTTAAAAATTTTCGAAAACAGGATATTACAATTAAATTAACAAACAATTCGTAAAGTGTTTGTCAATTCGTTATCTTGATCTATTTATCTATCACTAGTTTCTTTCATTTTGATTTATCTATTTAGAGAAGAACTAGTATGTTTTTTTATTTATTATTAATAATAGTCAAAATATATATCGAATTTTTGTCTTGCGTTGTCTGAGAAAGGAAAAAATGGGAAAAAAATAAGAGAGAGAGAGAAAAAAAAAAAAGCAATTAAACAAAAAATTGTATGTAGGATGCGAATTACTGCGGTTAACTGGTATGACGTGCGCGATAAGATCAAGAAAAAAAAAAATGATGACGAATAAATAAAATCGGTGGAACGCGATCAAATGAGAGAAATTAATATACCGGACGCATGACATACGAGAGGACTAATGTTAAATTAATACTAAGTTTTCTCTAATCATTCTAAGTGTTCCGTACTCGTGAAAGATTAGAATACATAATGAAGTTCATTTCTTATATCGATTTATATATACAGTATTGCATCGTTTAATTGAAATTTGATGGGGAGGTAAGAGGAATGGTTGAAGGGTGGTAAAAATATATATATTTGAAGAAAAATTATAATTATTATTTAAAACTATTGAGATATGGGTGTGTATGTAAATAAATTAAAGTTTGGTTTCGCGTAATTTGCATTTGAACGTATCTAACGTATCGAAACAGTTCTTCTTCTGTTTGGCAAGTGTCGTCGAGTATTGCAAAAATAAAATATCGTCGAGAAACTTAAAGCGTAGAATTTTGGTTCACGTTCGTATTCAAAATAACCGAATATTTTAACGAAAGATCGTAAAATATTTATCCTTTTCTATTTTTCTTTTCCCTCACTATTTTTTTTTTTCCTATTAATATCATAAAATGTCAATTGGAAATACGCATCTCAGTTATTCGACGTCATGTTTACGAAATTATGATGGAAAAATAGATTGCTAATTAAAAAAAAAATCTGGCGTAATATTAATTTTTATACGTATGTATATTAATA